CGCATAGAAAGTATGTCTATAGGAACTATTAATCAAATCTGAATCGCTTCATACACGTCTAGAGTTAAAACCAGTAATAACGAGTATCATTAGTGGCAGAATTTATAACCTTAGTAAAAACTTGCTTTCTTTAGTAATCTGACAACCTTTTTAACTAGTATGTATTCTGTTTATTGCTTTCTGAATTCAGTAGATACCATGCCTATAGGATCCTTGTCCAACACTTAGGCAAGCTTAGACAACCAGCAGGCAGGCCTGATTCAGGCTTCTTATCTGAATTATGTAATCAATCAGTCTGCCTCAACCTTTAAGCTCTTAATCAGACCATAAACAATATGTGAAAGTCATGCTAATTATGTGCTTTCTTTGTTCGAGGGGGTATATCTGAGCCGTTTACTTGTTATGTGCTTTCCCCAACTTGTTATACATGTTTTTGTATGTCGCCTTAGAATTTTACCTTTGAAACTACAAATAAGCCTTATATCCCTCCCTCTTAGGATTAGTAGTCCTAAATTCCTCCGGACTGATAGGATTGGGACGGGTAATAGCATGCAATAAGTAATCGAGATCATTTCGCACTTTAATACCTCAACGGGGTGGGAAATGGTAGATATGGATATGATGACCACGCGATAACGTCTCGTGTAGCCCCTCACTGAGGAGTGATTATCGGATGTTGTGTGGGATGATCCGTATTATTAATAAACCTAGCCCCCCTTTTCCCTTTTGTTTCTTTGTTTCTTCTAAAGATTTCAAGTTATTTCTTTTAAGAAAAATCAGCTTCCTTTTAATTCTTTCCAATTTTGTTTGTAAACGTTATGTGAAAATCCCCTCTTATTTGAGGTTTTATTTGCCGACATGTTTTTTGCACCTAAATTCACAATAATAGTCTGGCCGGGAACCACACTAGTGGATTCTGAGGGGTGCCTAACACCTTGCCCTTGGAATAATTTCAAGCCCTTACCTAACCTCTGGTTACTCAAATCAAACCTTCTTGGTGTCCTAATGCACCTTAATTATTAGGTGGCGACTCTTCAAATGCAAACCCTAATTCCTAAAAGGGAATGAGTTGTCCTTCCAAATGTCATAAACTCGATTTTGCGAGAAAAAGGGGTCCCGACAGCGTGGCAACTCCGCTGGGGAATCTTAGGCTTTTACCACTTCAGACTATTATTGTTAATTTACGCTTCTTTATGCGCAATTATCTATTTATTTCTTTCAAGCATTCAATTTTTATTTTCGATTGCAAAACTGACTTGTCTTTTTGTTTCTTTCCCTTATTACTTTCCTTTACTACTTTCCTTTATTACCGCTTTAAATTATGAAAAAAAACTATTGTATTTACTGCTTTCCTAACGTGCAAATACGTGACAACCTGCTTTAATTGTTGCATAATCATGCTCAACATCATATTTAACTCGTGCTAAACAAAATACCATAGCAATGCTTATAATGAGTGGTTGCGCTCTTCTGATATTATCACCCCTTTACATTCAGAAAAGGCATATTTTCGGTAAAACCAGTCGATCAACGGTGCAATCGACGGTTCCGTGCCTTTCCCCCTTGAGTTGTCCGCTCAAGGGTACCAGTCTAAAACCCCATAGAAACCTTACTCTATTTAACTGTGCATGCATCATGGTCAAACCTAGCCGAGTCAGTTGTTGTCCATATAATGACTCTTTAAGATAGCCTTGTTCAAAGTCCAATGGGTTTCCCTAAAACCCAAACGGACACCATCATGTTCTATGCATTTATTTGGAGAACTAAATGCTTTTATGCCAATTATTGATATTTATGTCACGCCCCAACCTTGGGAGGCGCGACCGGCACTCAATCGAGTGATCCCAACTGAGCAAGCCTTATCAAACACTACCTACCCAGCTCAATATGAATAAGGACACCATGCTTCCATTTATTTAATCAAAGGAAGATAGTGCATCCCACATTACTAGTTCATTTTAAATCACCACATCAAACCATAAATGAGTTCTGAGGTCCCATACATTTATACTTTAGAGAAATGGGAATTAGAATTACAATATAGTTAGTACACCCATCCGACACCCATACATGATCCACACATATGTCTACGAAGCCTCTAAGAATGTAAAAGACAAGTATGACAATGCCGGCAACAAGGCCCCGTCTATACCTCAAAAGTGAAAGTCCACAACACAAAGATATACAACATAGCCCCTTGAAGGAGAAAGGGGCTCACCAAGATCTTGAGAAGAGGGATGCTTCGCTACACACGACCGGCACTATCCTCTATGGAGCCACCTACATTTTTTTTTTAAAATGTAGCGCCCCCGGCAAAAGGGACGTTAGTGCCATTGAATAGCACTAGTATGTATAACTAAACACCATCAAATTAGAAAGAACTTTCATACACAAATAAAGAAATCACAAGTATCACTCCAAAGCTTTAAACGATCACAACACTATCAATATGAAAGAATTACACAACCTTCACATCATGTTTCCATAGCCTTTAGTTGGGAATTTCATACTGTTGCACATCACTCACATTACCACCACTATCTTTAGAGGAGTCCGATCTCGACCCGATCGGCTAGGCCGTTTCCCAGAGATGTTACCAATATTCTATTCACACTTTCTAGTTTCAATCATCAATGCATAACTTCCATGTGTATATGTCATGGCGTCCGATCACGGCCTGATCGGCTAGGCCGCCTTACCGAGGCGTTACCATTTTCTATTATTCATCTCACTCCAATCTTTGGTTACACATGTATTAGTTTACCGGCACTTGGGGACACAATTTTCACATTCCACAATTCACGTTTCACATTGTTACCATTTTCAACATTAGGTTTGTAATTCAAGAGAGTATGGCACATAAGAGCAAATAAGGTTGTAGGCGTAGATGAGACTTCATGTAAATGGCACAACAACACACTTCAATTTCAATCTAAGGTTTAAGCATTTCGATACATGATTCATAGTCCTTGCACCTTTTCAAGTTATCAAGAATAGCACGTTGATCAATTTGAGACACAGTTTCCATGCATATAAGGTTTCAACACCAAGTCAAGTGAAATAGCAATCAATACAACAATTCAATTTAGTCTTACCGTACTCACACAACCAACAATGAAGCTCAATTTCTAAAAGACGAGGTTTTAGCCATACATACCTCAATAAAGCTTTCCTTATTCCTTACAAAATTCCGGAACTTTTAGCACTTCGATCTATTGTGTAAGAATTACAAATTAAATCGAGAATTAGAGACGAGATTGAGATTCTAGCTTGTTTTGAGCATACTATCAAACACTAAAGGGGCATTGTGATCTTAGGCCCTTTTTGAGAGAAATTTCTATCATTCTATACCCCAATTGCTTTTTTTTTAGTTCACTACCCCCAACACTCTAAGGTTTGATATGCATGCAAGAAACTCTAAGGTTTGATATGCATGCAAGAAATCCACTCTTATACCAATGAATTACCTCACTAATAACCCCCTTATAGCTAAGTATAAAAATAAGAGCTGAGATGATGAAGCCTTACCTCTTGGGATGAGGGTTTAGGTCCCTCACTTGATTATCTTCAATGATTTACCAAGGATTCATGGAGTAATTTGATGAGAAGCACTTTCCCTCTCTTAGACCCCTCTCTCTCACTCTAGAAATATCAGGAAATAGGCTCAAAATTAGCTATTACACCGAATATAACGATAGGGGGTCAGGTTTAAAATTTAGAAAATTGGAGCCCCGAGTCAGATCTGCGATCGCCTTCTGCGATAGCAAAGTCGACATGCGGTCCGCATAATGGACTGCAAAAACACTCCCCAAAACTTGAACACACTGTCTGGGTATGCGGCATAAATGCGGTCGGCATACCCGTTATGCGGTTGCATAATGCACCGCAGAACTGCTTCTTACAAAATACCAATGGAATTATGCGACGACTATGCGGTCCGCATATTGGTTATGCGATAGCATAATCGACCGCATAGTTGACCTCAAATTGACGAACACACTGACTCACTTTGCGGCGTCTATGCGGTCCGCATACCTAATGTGCAACCGCATTCTCGATCGCAGAATCACACTTTTCTGGAAAACATTATTTCTTGACTTTTTAGAGCATAGATTAGTCAAAAAGGTCGGAACCGTGGCGAGCAAGCTCGCCTCAAAGAATTTTACACATCACTAATACATGGTCCTAATTGCCACTACGAGCTTTCGGGTTTAGAATGAAAATTTTCACGGGGCCTCACATCCTCCCCCACTTAAGATCATTCGTCCTCAAATGAGGATCAAGGTTCACTTATTAGTAGTCTTTGTATAATCTTTTGCTCTTTACAACCTGAAACATATTCATAGACCCCAAATTTAGCTAACTCCCTGAATTTCAGAAAATTTCGCCAGAATTTCCTCTGTATTTAAGCCTATCCACCTGTTAGGGAGCCCCAGAAACATATCCTAACCGCACATACATATTCCATAGAGATAAGGCATAACATAACTCGTATAATACTAACCATGGCCGCATGGCCAACCTATAACCGAAACAGGACAATTTTACGTAGATCAAGTCTAAAGATGAGAGTTCATAGGAGCAAAATGCATAAAAGCTATTACATGACTATTCAAACAAATGTGGATACTTCCTTTTCATTTCATCCTCGGCTTCCCAAGTTGTTTCCTCAACTTGTTGGTTCCGCCATAATACTTTCACGAATGCAATTTTCTTATTTCTCAATTTCCGAACCTGCCTATCAAGAATGACAACTGGAACTTCTTCATATGACAGTTCTTCATTTACCTCCAAAGTTTCAACTGGCACAATAGTGGACGGATCTCCCACTACCTTCCTCAACATGGACACATTAAAGACCGGGTGTACTAAGGACATTTCGGGTGGTAACTCGAGCTTGTATGCCACCTGACCAATCCTCTGAACGATTCTGTATGGTCCGACATACCTAGGACTCAATTTTCCCTTCTTTCCAAATCGCATGATGCCCTTCATAGGGGAAACCTTCAGAAATACCCAATCATCTTCTTTGAACTCTAAATCTCTGAGCACTAGAAGAATCTCCTCATTCTTCTTTCCTAAAATTCCATAAGCAAAGTTGAGGGCTCTTCTCTTATCTTTTAGCATATTGAGTAAAGTAGAGTAGAGTGGGTTGAAATACTCCTGTTAGGGTTAATATTGCAGATCTCAACAATTTTTCTTCTATCCCTTGTATCAAAGAGTAATATAGGTGACCTGGCGTGTTATTGTTGTCTTGATCGTTTCTTACATTCCTCTAATTTATGCAGATCTTGTACTGCAATGTTGGAAATCCTTCAATACTTAGGTCAGCAGCCTATTACTTTCTTTAGGGAGGTAGGAATAAATTGTTTGATTCTAGATTATGTTACTTGTCTCGTCGAGAAATGTCTAAGGTGGATTCCTTTATTTAGGTCGTTGCATTATGTGACCATCCAGTTATTTTGGGCAAAAGTGAAATTTGCAATATGTGACCTTCTTGTTATTTTGGACAAAAGTGAAACACAAGGTCTGTTCAGGTATGAAGTTTGTCTATCAACCTCCCTACACCTTGTAGCGCAATGAAACAATTCATGCGCCTTAGTTTCTAGAGATGTCTCAAGAAGTGGAATTAACATGTCTAATTTTCATAAGCCAAATGTTTTCCCCTGTATTTTTCAAACATGGCACAGTTGAATCTCTTGCTACTGATGGAAGCTTTTGTCCTTGTTGTATTGTAAATAATTTGCATCTGAATATTAATGATATTCTTCTTCTTAGTGTTTTGAAGTCAAAGTCCAACTTATAAAACCAAGTGATGTGATTGTTATTGTAATTGATGTAAGTTAGCAAAAGTGAACTATGAGAGTGATGACTTGATGCTATTTCTTGTTATCTTGACATATCAAGTAATGTTTTTGAGGCCTGAGAAAAGCGAAATGTATTACTTTAAGCTAAAAGATCAATAAAATGTGGAAGGTTGTGATGACTGAGAAGCTCCAAGTTAATATATTTGATCGTGAACACTTTGAGAAAATTGATGACTCTGTTTTATTTGCACCTACTGCCTGTGGGTATTGTTTCACTTTTAGCTTCAAACTGTATACATATTAACTGGTATTTCTAAAAAAATGCAAGTGGCTATAATCAAACTCTTACTTTCCTTATTTTGTGAAATCAGTGCAATGTAGTGTTATTATTGAATTATAGTCATTCACTTTTTGTTATTCAAAAGCTTGTATGTTTTAGTTGATAGGTTCTTTCTTTGAGCTTTTCTGTTTCATAAATATCATGGTATTGATTATGAATTTACACCTAAGTAGAAGCAAAAACTTTTTGCCTAGACATTTATTGGAACATCGTCACCAATATAAAGGAGTATGGTGAAGAATTTGAATCAACTTCAGCCATGTTCTACATGATTTTATGGTCTAAATAGCATTGTCATGCTACCTATGATAAGGAACTACGTCTCATAAAACCAGTCAGAAACTATGAGAAATTGTTATTTGATGTCTTTCATTCTCTCTTTGCTTTGTAGTGCGGATTCAATAGAACGAGCTTTCCAGATCCTCAGCCAAATTCCTGGCAATGTGACAGGTGCATACAACCACAGTCAGGTGACAATATCTTCTATTATAATGTCCTAGATTTGCAGCCAGTATACTCCTAGAACTTATTTTTGTGTTTGCTAAACTCCGGGGTGTCAAAGGATTACATGATACAATTGCTTCTGGTATCGAAGCTCGTGATGGCTTCCCTACTGACCCAAATGATATTTTCTTGACTGATGGTGCAAGCCCAGCGGTAATTATGTTGATCTCAAAAAGTTATTCGTGCATCATTGAGAGAAGTAACTAAAAGAATAACAAGGTGTCGATAATGTTGGTTCTTCATCCTCTATTCAGGTTCACATGATGATGCAGTTGCTCATTGGGTCAGAGAATGATGGAATTCTCTGACCCATCCCCCATCCACTTTATTCTGCTTCAATTGTCCTCTATGGTGGCACTCTCGTATGTGCATTTGCTTCAATTTAAAGTTGATCAGTTCTAGTTGTATAGTTGGCCTTAATAGGCTAGATTAACCTACTTCTGAAAGAGATTATTGTAAACGTTTATTAATGAGAGCTGACCTGATTGGCTTACTATTCAGTTGAAGGTGACACATGAGCCTCTTATGTATGCTTTTATCTGGTATTTTAGGTTCGCTATTATCTTGATGAAGAAACGGGATGGGGACTGGAGATCTCATAGCTTGAGAATCAACTGAAAACTGCAAAATCCAATGGTATTAAAGTTAGGGCTTTGGTTGTGATCAATTTAGGCAACCCAGCAGGGCAGGTAATGATTTATTAGATTTTGGAATCTCATCATTGCTCTTCGTCATTTTGGAAGAACCTACTGTGGTGGAAAATGTTTGTCTTCCGTTTCCCAATAAAATTTTAAAATGTGTACATGTAGCATGAATAGCTTCTATGTATACCTTAAGTTCTTGTTGAGGCCAACCAACGAGCTATTGTGGAATTCTACAAGAAAGAAGGCCTCGTTCTTTTGGCGGATGAAGTGAATATTTATTTCCCTCTAGATGCTTCTTTGCTTGATTCTGACAAATTCTTTTACTTCCATGCACTTGTTTGAGGGGAGGTCACAATTTTTTCATTCCTGAGTATTGTGCAATTTATTCTAAAATTGTAAGCCTCTCATATCTTGTGGAACTCATGCAGGTGTATCAGGAAAATGTTTATGTGCTTAAGAAGCAGTTCCACTCGTTTAAGAAAATTCCTCGCTCTATGGGATTTGGAGAAAAGGACATCTCTTTAGTTTCTTTTCAGTATGTGTCAAAAGGTAGATCGTACTAGCTCCATCCATCCCTCTCTTGTTGGCGGTCTTTCTCTTTCTTGAAAGCCTCGTCATGAGCTCTCCAAAGGTTGGTAATGCTGTTTGTGTAATACATGGCATTGCATGTAAAATTGATATTGAGACGACCACATATAGCTTCGGGATTGAGGTGCATCTTAATAGGAGTGTGGTTGCCAGTCAAATATTTTGGTAGTGGTGGTTATAGAATCTATAACAAGCACGAGTACCTCAATGGTTTAATTTATGTAGGTGTATCATACTTTTTAATGTGGTGAGCTAAACATTAGATGTCATTACAGTGATATGCACTCTACTCTGACTATTAACTTAGAAGCTTGCTGCGGGTTCCTTATATCTGTGTTATCTGGATGATGAATCATATCAGTCTTTTATTGCTGAGAAAGAAGCGATACTCTCATCCTTCGCAAGGCGTGCAAAGGTCAGTAGCATCAGCATATACAACTAGCGGTGACTAGATAATAAACTAGTTTGTTTTAGTGAAGTAGTGGAAGTTGTTTTTTTTTTATCATGAACCTTGCATCTGAAAAGAAGAGCTGGTTAAAGTAGGAAGCAGAAATGATGTCTGAAATTTTCTCAAATAAAAGTTGTCCCAAAATAATTTCCTCTAGAGTTTCATTTCAGCTTATCAAAAATGGTATATCTAAATGTTTGCTTCCTTTTGGTGTTTTCTATCTGTCAAATTGATACATTTTCTATTTTCTTCTGTGTTTGGCAATTTCTTTTTTGACTAATTTGTCAACAGACACTAGAAGATGCATTCAACAGTTTGGAGGGAGTAACATGCAATAAAGCATAGGGCGCAATGTATCTATTTCTATGTATTAACTTACTTGCTAAAGCAATAAAAGCAGCAGAAGAAGCTAAAACTGCACCAGATGCCTTTTATGCTCGACGCCTCCTCAATGCCACCGGAATTGTTGTTGTCCCAGGCTCTGCATTTGGCCAGGTGATTGTTATATTTTTGACAACTTGCTTCATGCTATTCCTAGTAATTAAATAGTTGGTAACTGTCACCATTAATTTAAAAAAATGCACATGGCTTTTACCTGGATGAGTAAACATCAGCAGACAAAACTAAATAAGCATTTCCTGAACAGTTTGGCTTTTTGTTTTACTTATTTAATTATTTTTGATTTTATATGTAAGTAGGTCGTTACACTTTTAGTATGTTAATCATATTATTAATGGCTTCCAGCTTGTTTATTCACTTCATCATAATTCAATCTATATGAAAACAATATAGGTAATTGTTACTACTTCCTAATAAATTCCCGTGGGAAGTGTATCTCGTTCTTGTCTCCTAGTGTTTGTACTGGCTAATTAGTACCATAATGGCTTCATGATATTATTGAAAAACATTATATTTAGTTATCAATTGTCTTTCTGTGTAAGCTATTATGATCATCCTCCATGTGTGATAAGATTCAATCTTATTTTGGCCTTCCACCAGGTGACTTTTTCTTCAAACAACAGTAAACATGTAATGACCTCAAATCTTGTTCTCCCTATTGATCTTGTAATATATTAAATAGATGTATGTACATCTTTACAGTACCCATCTTATAATATATATTGGAAGCTGAAATGGAGATATAATTTTTTCACATTATTTACAGGGTATAACAAACAATGCATCTTTGTTTGTCTCAATTGCAGGTATTGGAAGGCAGAGCTGCTAAAGAGAATAAAGAAAATGCAAATGAGGAACTTAAGGCTTACAAACCTACAGAAGTTTCTATGGGTTTGAACAAGAAAAGCTCACACGCTGATTAGATTAATGGTGAGGTCAAGCTTTACAGAAATGAATCGGTTACAAAATCAGGAGATGACGTGGAAGGTGTTAAACTAGTCATGTATTAGAAAATAAACTTGTAGCTAAGGGTATATCAAATGAGGTTTGTAATAGATGCTAACTTAAATTGATTAATATGTGTAAAGTGTTATCATGATACATCAATTTTTTTTCATTTATTGTTAGGTTGCACCTTTGAACAATTGATTTTACTAGTTAATGTAGTACATGGTATATAAGTGTACGCATTTGAACTTTTTTTTTGTTATTTGTTATTTGATGTAGTTCTTGAGATCTTCATGCTTAGCAATGATCTCAAAATATCTGGTAATATATGTTAGGCAATATATGTGGTTACTTGGGATATTAAAAAAAATGTAATTTTATAAAAAAAAAAAATCGCACTTTACATGGATTCTTGCAGAAACTACGCTTGAAAGTGTTGTTGTAGGACTTAAAAAGCGTTAGTAAAAGGGGTATGCATAAGCGTGATCTTTGTACATTATAGGCCACACTTTTGAAGTGTGGCTTCTAAAGCAACACTTCAAAAGCATGGCCTTTTTTTTTGGCAATCCGCTAGGCAAGCGCCTAGGGATAATTTTTTATTATTGAAAGAAAAGAAAAATACAACAATTAGGAACAGTACAAATAAGGGGGACAATAGCACCGGTATTGTTACCCATATGCCTTGGCTATATAATCACTCCTCTGCGCCTCACATTGCCTTATGATGGCAGCCTCATGTAGAGGATTCATGGTGTAGCTGCCGGCAAAGTCTCACGAGGGCATATAATCTCATAGCCGTGTGGATATTTTTCCAAAGGCATAGTACTAAGGCAACTCAAACCGGGCTAAACCTTACCCTACTAATCCTATTGAGGCAGAGAAAAGGCCTTACCTACTAGCACACATGTAAAAAATAAGAACTGGAGAGTACTAAATATTCAATGATCATCACAAAGTTTATAACATACTCTGTGATGATATTACAAATGAGAATACTAATAAAGTGGTATAATAGAATTAAGTACCAATTTGGTTCATGTACCTTCTTTTGCAAACTTATAAAATCTTCAATTTGTAATTCTTTGTTGTTTTCCTCAACCGTGTTCAAAATGTATTAAAAATCATCATTTCGTTTTTGAACGGTTGGACCTCGTTGATGTAGTTGGGGCAGCCTGCTTTTGTTTGGCAACTCTCATTGGAGGTCGCCTAACATTTAAAAAATCACTAACCTTGTCGTTCCAACTATTTTTCCTTGTATGAGATTTCCTATTTTTTCCGCTATGCATAGGCGATAAATCACCTTTTCTTGCTGCATGTGCGCGACATTCTTTCAAAACTGTATCTTCTTCTCCTTCCTCATACATATCTCTACCCACAGATACTGGATCTGGCATGTCTTGTAAAAATTCTTGTGCCATCAAACCATTTCCATCTTGTCTGTTAACCATAGTTGCCTTGTTTTGACTTTGTTTTGTGCCTTTCACCTGGTTGCTGGTCCAATCTCCACGCCCAGTGCTACCAACTTGATTTGTATTTAGAGAATTTAGGGGCTTAGCACTTACCATTGCATCAAGTAGCTTTCTGTCCTCCATTGTGATAACAGGTACCCTTATAGATAACTGTTGCTGTCCAGCAGTTGAAGAAGTTACTGCTGCTCCTGCATTGTTTTCATTCTGCTGCTGCAATGCATCAAGCAACTTTCCATCCTGCAAAGTGATAGCTGGTGGCGTTGTATCCTGCTGCTGCTGTCCACCAGTTGGAAGTGTGACTATAGCTCCTGAGGTGTTTGCATTCAGCTGCTGCTGCCCATACTTTCGACCAGCTGGATCAATCTGGTTACTAGGTGTGGCTGCATTTTGAACTATGTTTCCAGCTACTGCATCCTTGACTTTTAGAGCAGCAACTGGAGAGTACCTGGGAATGAAAGCTGGAGCATTGAGATTTAACATGCTTTTGTGGCTCGCGTTTGGTATACCATCTGGTTTAGGCAGTGTTATTGAATCAAATTCTTTTCCTGCACTCTCCTGATCAACCTCATGATCTGCCTCTTCAGATGAGTATCAAGCAAAATCAACACCACAATCTTCTTCATCATCATACTCACGCTGGTCATCCCAGAGCTTGGATTTAATTGCCATCGCCCTCACATTTGCACTGATAACCTCATTGTTATTTCCTGTAGAAATCATCATCTGCCTAGATTCACCACCATGCTCACCAAATGATTCTAGCGATTGAGTAGGCACCTCCTGCACCGATGTGTTCAAAGCGACCAGTGGTTGCCTGATCAGAGGCTTTGCATTCATCATTATATCCATCTGAGTCTCTTTAATGATTTTGGCTACTTCCGGACTAGAAATATGCATTTTTGGGCTACTTCCGGACTAGAAATATGCATCTTTGGAGTACTGGACCTCGTGGTTGCTGTAGACAATTGGATTGCCTCGGCCTTTTGCGCATCAACAGGAACAATGTCCTTCGACACAATTAGTCGACCACCTGTGTTCTTGGCAAGTTGTTGTTTGCTACTATCTGGATATTGTAGTTGGCAAATTTTTGGGGTTGTGTTCATCATCATAGCTGCCACGACATCCTTTACCATTTTATCAAGCTCCGAATTGAAAATATGTAGCGTTGGCGTATCTGCAGCATGAATTTGACTTGTCTCACCATTGTGATTACCACCAGATGCGATCTCAAGGCGAACACTGTCCGCTTCATTTTTCTGCTCCTTTTCACTCCCTGTAAAATTAGTTTTTCCAGCATCTGGTCGTATCTCGTACCCCATCTGTTGTTCTTCATTAACATACTCACCCTCATTCACCAAAGCATCGAAAGAGTTTGAAACTCCAATAGCGTATGATGGTACAATCTAATTTTGAAGCATTGGAGTTTGCTTCTTGCTAGGTGATTTGTTCACCACTTTCCAGTTGTTACTCTTTGTAGTACCTACTACCCCTACACCTATTTTATCTTGTCCCACAGAAATTTGATGACCATGTGCCAAAACATTTTTTCCTCGATCAACATCGGCCTGCATTGCACCAGCAGTAACTAGGTGCATTCTTGTAGAGATAGTGGAGGCGTGAACATGTTTGGATTATTTAGGCAGCCCCTTGTCCAATTTTAACACCTCATCTAGTGGCACGATAGGAGCTGAAGCATGTGTTGTATTTGAATTGTCAATAACTCCAGCAACAGAAGTCATAACCCTTTCATTAAAGAGCCCAGCACCTGCCTTCAAACCTGTAGCATTTGCACTTCTCACAACGTCAACATCTTCAAGTTCCTGCTCCTCATCTTGCACTGCAGTATCTATTAACTAAGATGTTTTTTCAGTTAGATCAACATGTGTAGCAGTAGCTTTAATAACCCCAGTAGTAGGACGATTAACAGTTGCATTCAATGCAACATTAGGCTCCAATTGTGAACCTACAGTAGCTGATCGTCTTTCAGCTTTGTCAACTTGTCCTATCAATGTTACTGCTGCATTATTCTTGGCAAACATTGTTCGAACAGCTGCAGCTAAAGCACTGTCATTCATCATCCCAGGTACAAACGCTGAACCTTTAGAAGTTCCAGGTAAAGCTTGATCAACCACAGTATTTTTTGCAGCCTTCAAGTCCTGAGCAACTCTAGCAAGGGATTCAGCAACTGGTATAATTGCACTAGAAATAGGATTACGCCTCATATGCCTTGTAGATACAGCTGTTATATGTGCTGTCTTGATCAAATTTTCAGCGTGTTCATGAGCCCTTTGAGGAGCTCTTAACACCTTTGTAGCATCTGTATGGTTAATGTGATCTCCAGCAGTTCTATCACCATCATTTAAGGCCCTCCTCTCATTCAAAAACTGGCGCAAATCTCCCTTGTATTTCGCACCACCAATTTGTTCTTGACGAGGCTGCTCTTCATCAATCTGAGCATCCTCATCACGATTTTTTTTCTGAAGTCTTCGACACGTAGTTTCATCATGGCCTTGATGCTTACAACAATTACAATACAGTGGTAAATTATCGTAAACGATTTCTTGAAAAACCTCCAGTACTTTTCCAGAAATTGTATCCACACTTTGCAACCTTACGCGATTAGGATGTTTGTCAAGCAAGTCTAATATCACCTTCACCCTAGCAGTGCTAGGTCTGGACTTAGTTTGTGTTGCCTTATCAATGGCAATTGGTTTTCCTACAGCAGATGCTATAGACAACAATGAAGGCATCGCAAACAAATCTGGTGACAGATTCGGCAACGATATCCAAACCATTGCTTTTGTTGTTTCCTCCTTTGGGTTATAACCAATCGTCCATGGAAATACACGATATTGAAGCTGAACATCCTTATACAACAGATAATTAACAGAGCGAGCTAAAGCACTTACATAATCATCATAACCATCAAACCTTAGCAGTAATTGTCTTGGTGCGAGTAAACCGATGATACATCGACCTTTAACACCTATGTGTTTGGGCAGTAAATTTCGTTGCTCATTGAGTTCTGGTGCTCCTAGAGATACTTTCATCACTACTGATTGATGCAAGCCTTTCTCCACAGCAAACTGTTGTCGTTCTTCTAAGGAAAACATTACGGTTGGCTCTCCATGGATGAACTGGACTAGTTTGAGTTTTGGAGTTGTGCGAGGTATGGGGTCTATTTTTGTTGCGATTTACTGAGCATATGTGGGTTTTATTAATGGCTCTCCCACAGCCAAAGGCTGGGGAGAGATGACAACATCCATGGCTGCTCAAAACGTAACCATATCATTGACGTAAAGAACTGAAAATAACAACAAAATCTGGAAAATTCTGCTTGCTACAGTAAATCGCGAAATAGAATTTAAGATCTAGAAAAATAGGTTATGAATTTGAGGATGAAACCAGTTGGGGATTGTTCTCTAAGAGAAGGAGGTTCTTTTAAGACCAATCTTGTGATATTACCTTGCCGGATGCCGGAGTTATGGCCTGGTGAATAGTGATGGAATTACTATTCACCTTCTTCCTAGAGAGAAGGAGGAGGATTTAAAAAAAGCATGGCCTTAGGGCAAGGGTTACGCCAATTTAGGCCACCCCGTTAAAAGCGGTGCCTAAAGTCAAAAAGTGTGGCTTTTTCTCAAATGCCACACTTTATACTAGTTTAGGCCACATTTTCTAAAGATGGCTAAAGGCCTAAAATGTCATAGTGCTTCAAGCTCATATGGATTACTACGACTCATCCTAATATTAAAGTAAGGGATGTAACATTGCATATGTGTCGCGGCAGCTAAAGGTTCACGAGAAGAATTACTATGTTCATGACTTAGAGTTGACAGCCATTGTTTATGCGCTAAAGAGTTAGTGGCACTATATTTATGGCGAGTCGTGTGAGGTATTCACGGATCACCTGAGCTTGCAGTATTTGTTCAAACAAAAAGAGCTCAACTTGAGGCATAGGAGGTGGTTGGAGCTATTGAAAGACTATGATATCAGCATCTTGTATCATCCCCGAAAGACCAATGTGGTGGCCGATGCCTTGAGTATAAAATTAATGAGTATGGACAGCCTTGCGTATATTCCAATCGGTGAAAGACCACTTGCAGCAGATGTTCAGGCTTTGGTCAATCAGTTCGTGAGGCTAGATATTTCTGAGTCCAGTCGTGTTCTAGCTTGAACAATTGCTCGATCTTCCTTGTTTGAGAGCATCAGGGAACGGCAGCATGATGACCCTTATTTGCTTGTCCTTAGTGATACAGTGCGACACGTTGATGCCAAGCAAGTTAGCATTTGAGATGATGGAGTTTTGAGGATGCAGGGTCATGTTTGTGTGCCTAATGTAGATGGAATTCATGAGTTTATTCTTGAGGAGGCCCACAGTTCCCGATATTCTATTCATCTGGGTACCACCAAGATGTATCAGGACTTGCAACAACATTATTGGTGGAGGAGGATGAAGATAGATACAGTTGCATATGTAGCTCTGTGTCTGAATTGTCAGCAAGTAAAGTATGAACATCAAAGACCTGGTGGTTTGCTTCATAAGATAGAGATTCCCGAGTGGAAGTAGAAGTATATCACTATGGATTTTGTTGTTGGACACCCACAGACTTAAAGGAAGTTCGATGTAGTTTGGATCATTGTGGACAGGCTAACCAAGTCAGCGCATTTCATCCCTATTGTAGTTACCTATTCTTCAAAGCGTTTGGCTGAGATTTACATCCGCGAGATCATTCGTCTTCACAGTGTGCTCGTGTCTATCATTTCCAATCAGGGTACGCAGTTCACTTTGCACTTTTGGAGGGCAGTTGTCACGCTCCAAAACTGAGGAGCGCGACCGACGCTCAACCGAGTAAACCCGACTGAGCAAGCCTATTAGATTTTATTCTACCTAAATTCATCTTTGAGTAAAGAGGAGCTGTACTCCCTTAATCATACTCTAAAATTATTTCATTAACAACTTTCATTTCGTTTTCATTAGCAACTTCAATCATAATTTCTGAAATATTACAATTCTATAGATATGATGAAAAACATGTTATGCTAAATACCAATATTTCTAATTCAATTCCCAACATCAAACACCACCCATAACCTGTCTACGGAGCCTCTAAGTACAACTGATGAGTAATATGTAAATACCGGCAACAAGGCTCCGGCTATATCTCAAAATACAAAGTACATGAGAAACAAAAGATACAGTACTCCAAAATAAAGTAGGGCTCACCAAGACAGCTGCAAGAGTATACTGATATCACTGCTCGATGTCGCCTGCTGTGGAACCACCTATATTAATTAAAGATACAGCACCCCCAGCAAAAAGGGACGTTAGTGTCGTCGAATGACACTAGTATGTATAGCTAAAAGTCCTTGTTCAAATAGAATTCCCATATAAGAAAAGGCAACACATAGAAACAACAAGTCACAATCAACAATATCCAAATGTCCAGTTAAAACATAAAAATTTTCAAAATACAAAAATAATATATATTTTTAGTTGGGAGATCTTTAGTACCGATAAAACCACAGTTCACGATACCAATGTCCACAATACCACTGCTCATAATGCCACTATTCACAATGCCGCTATTCACAATACCACCGTACTCTTGGCACTGAGTCCGATCACAACTCGATCCGCTAAGCCATCTCATCCGAGATATTAACCACAATCACAATCTCAAGCACAATCACAATCTCTATGCAAATATACCATCGTGAATCTAGCACAGAGTCCGATCACGACCCGATCGGCTAGGCCACCTTACTTGAAGACATCAACCACAATCACAATTTATATCACAATTTCCAGCACAATCACCACCATGTGTGCAGCATGGCATCCGATCATGGCCTGATCGGCTAGGTCGGCTCACCAAATGCCCTGTGGTTAGTGTTGATACCCAATTTTTCCCTCATATATTTCAAATATGCATATATACTCTCAAAATAATGCATGAGGATCATCAATTATTTTCCTAATTTTTTCATAATTTTTAAAGATTTTTTTAATCAATTTATTCCCATATTTTATTGTATAAATAATCATTAATTGCATCACAAATCATTTTTATGATGATTTTATCATCTAACTTCATCATTTATATCCATATTAAGCCTTAAATATTTTTGATGCATTTATTATGATTATATTTGCACCTTTGGGCTAAAATTGCATATTTTGCAATAATAGCCCTTATATACTTATGATTACTTTATTTATGCAAAAAAATAACTTTTTTATGATTTTGTAGTATTACATAATTGTTATTAACCATTTTTATGCAAAAATAATATTTTTACGAATTATTTTATTAATTAAAAATGGGTATTTAA